CAAGCAATTCGACCTGGAGCACGCTACCATCCTCTGTAGGGCTAAAAACTGGCCAGCACCTGAGTTCATTGAACCCTGGCATTCAAAGCAGCACGAGATCAATAAGCACTTGGACATTGAACTCCCTTACGAGAAACTGTGAACCAGGCCCCTGAAGCCGCACTGATGGTGTTGTCTTGTCTGGCAACAAAACGTCTGCAACATAATAGCGTAGCTCGGAGAACAACTCAAAACCCGCTTCCACATCCTAGGCTATGAATATTCTGATTTATTTCAAGTAAATTTTTATTCTTGACAGTGCGAGGCACTTCTGTATAAGCATGATCATAATAATACAAACAGGATTGATAGATAGTTGTACAAAATGTTTTAAGGTTACCAGTAGTGTAGTGGAGGTGTGTGTATGTGTATATGAATACAGGCTGGCCACAGTGACAGGCAAATCCGAAACCGGATGCCGCCAATCATATATATAGATATGAATTTACGTATCTGTGTTGTCCGAATGTTTTAATTAGGCGCTGCGTTTGGCGTTGTCTTCATTCAGGTCTTCGGCATGGGAAGCAGTCTAAGGAACTCTTCGGCTTGGAGTAAGGTGATCCGAATAAGCGAACAGCAGTGATTTTAGTGGCTAGTCACATCCACCACGTTGCAGTGTTGCTAAACAGACATTTGTGGCTTTTTCTAGGGAGAACGCTTGCCAAGCGCTAACCCACCACGTCCTGGGAAACTGCCGCCGAAACATTCGTTGGAATGGGATTAACCCGAAACACTCAGTTGGCACCACTGAGAGGTTGTTCGGCAAGTCAGGTGTGATGAAATGGGCTACATAAATATGCAGAAAAGTTTTACTTCGCGACTGACATTTTCTCTTATGAGCAGAAGTCAGATTGCGTGCACGCTGTCGCGTAGTCGCGTGGTCCAAGTGAGAAGGAATGGTGCAATGTAACATCTTTAACGCAAGGGAATGGCGTACGAATATCGTTTTGAACACTTCATTCATTTATGTGAAGCAAGCATGAGAAGTTGCCTAACAGACCACTTGGGTTAACTCAGTCGGAGTTTGTTTTGTTTCGAACAACTTGTTGTCACTCGTGATAACTTATGTTCGACTCTAGAGTTAGGAAAATGGCCACATTGGCCGATAGATTTAGTGTTTTTAACCTTAAGATTTTGGAGAGCTTGGTTGATTGAGACACGATCGAAAGGCTTTTGTCTATTTGGAACCATAATGACGAAGGATTTTCTGGCATCTTGTACTTAAGGGTGACAGTTCAGGTAGTACAGTTGATAACACACACATAAACCATTGATTAGAAAGCCATTCAGAGGAAGTTTGTGAAACCTTAGTATCTCACTATGCAAAGTTTACCATGTGTCCTGTGATTGCAAATACGATAGGAGTATGCTGAGCGGAACAGTCTGGCAAGCAATACTACTACGAATATGTTAACAGTAATATATTTCTTGGAAACGCGAGCCGGTCTAGTGTATCTGGTCCGATCATTAAGTGCAGGTCCCACACAAAACTGTTAGGGAATATCGTGCGTTCACCAAAATCGAAAAATTTCGGTTCGATTTGTTGTCAGATATCAACCGGATATTTCCTCTGAAATGCATCCTCGGTGGATGATCTTCATCTCATCATAACGTTAGACGAATTGCAATCCGGAAGCCGTAAAGCGATGAACTGTACAAAATCTACATGATTGTAAATCAGGCACAGCATTGAGAATCACAAAATCGCGTAAACTTGAAATAGGAAAGAGTTGTAGATGACGTAGCAATGTTTTAGGGTTCATCGGTACAAGACGTACATTGAGATCAATCAAATTTATGGAAAGCTTTGGAACACATTTCTCCAGGCTAACTAGTGGGAAAATGTTGCAACGGATATGTTATAAATCTATATGTGACGCGCTTTTTGTGACCATTTGATACGATGCAGGTTATTCAAGATGGGTGCGTTGTTTGATAGTAAATGGTATGTAGTACACCAACTTGTTAGGCCAATATTGCATGAAAATTTAGTTGGGCAATTAACCATGCTATGATAAGGCCAACGAAAAATTTTAAAATTATTATACTGGGCCTGAGTGACAGTTTTATATTTTCGAAAGCGCCACTTGAAATCCCATCTGCGCGAAGAACTCCACATGTATGTCGCTTCATCCTATTGGCTTTAGTGTAATATAAAGGATGCACTGGACCTAATCGCCTTGTGCATTGCTGGCACACTCTGTGTCGGTCAGTATTACTCACGGTTTGAGCTTTTCCAGGGTGATATGTGGTTGTTCTACAATCAGCCTTAACACTCAACCTCGTCGCACATTGCACCAAACTGAGAGGAGTCTAACCGTCCCAAAGAGGGTGACAGCAACCTCTCAGAGAGTCCAACCGCTATACCATAATTGTTGGTCAAATTTAGGCGACAACAATGACTCGGATGTCACTCTGTCTGAGTAGTGCCAGGGTTGAATTTGTCTCGCAGCCAACAGGGCTGCATTTCAAAACGTCTTACCATTCAACGTAGACAAATGTCGCGTTGTGCAATTACGCCATAAACATAACTACAGATATTTGTTTGGGACAAAATGATTGCAGACCAGCTCCCAGGAACGTGACCTCGGTGTGCTCGTACAGATTGACCTCAACTGTTCAAAACAGGCTGAGGTAGCCGCGAAAAGCGGCAACCAGCATGTCGGCATGTTGCGAAGGGCATTCGAGCGATTTGACCCATCAATCTTCCCAAGGATGCGCAATTTCTACGTGCGCCCACATGTTGAATACGCTATCCAAGCTTGGCAACCTTGGTTGAAGCTCGACCTAGAGGCAATGATGAATGTAAACCGTCTACGCTATCATTCTTACCACGGAAGGCTGAAGTTGCTGGGAATTTTCAGCGGACGCTATCGAAGGCTGCGCGGCGATCTCATATTAGCGTATCAGATATTGAGTGACCCCAACCACGTATGCCATCACTTGCTGAAACTTAGCCACAACTCGCAGTTCAGGAGTAACTGCTTAAAATTGAACAACATAGCCGTCTAGAGTGTCGACGTAATTACTTTTCTATTTGGGTTTGCCAACTCTGGAACGCACTCCCAGACACAATTGTATCCTCCCTTACCCTGGACGTTTTCAAAAAACGCTTAGATGTTGCTCTTAGCTCCCAGCACTTTGTTACCTAAACTCCTCTATTGTGGATTACGTCAAGAATACTTTCTACAGGATTTATGTATCAAATAGACCCAAGGGTGCGACCATGTTTTCCTTTTCTCACGCCTTATATCAACGACCACTGCACCCCAGTGTATTTGTGAACATTAACGCTCGACATTTTTTAAATTTTACACTGATGTTATTTATCAAATTGTTCATCTCGGCAGACGTTTTTTTAGCTGACCCACATATATTTTGATTTCATCATATTCACCCCAACCATCCTACGTGACGTGTCAAGCACTTGCTTTTATCCCGTGATAAATCATTGTCCCAGTGATCGCAGTGACTAAGGTTCATTTCAATGTGAATCACAGTCCATTACATTGAGGTTGCGTGTCGCAATCCAATCACACAACGTGTAGTCCATACTTGACCCTCCAATTGTTCATTGTACTTCTGGTAAAGCAGTGGTTGGGGGAAAGCGGCAGTGGGGTGAAACCCTATTACCAACCGTCTCATGGCTTGGTCGGATGCACATGATAGCGATGATAGTGAAATTTGCGACAAATTGAGTTGGGATCAAGTGTTCTATACGTGTGTGATACACAACAGCACGACCGGTCAACTCGCGCTCTAAGTTATTATCTAAAAGCAGCAAGTTGGTATGGGATAGTCCATTTCGGCACAGAATAAGTGCATGGCGAACAGTAATAGGCAGACAAAGAATGCACCATGTCGGTTGCCTTTTAAAGCTGTGTGTATCAACCAAGCAGGTTTCAGTTATACCTGGTAAGCGGTTGCATGTTTGTTTCTGCAGTTCACAAGTAACCATCTTTGGAACAACACAGACGTGCGTTGGCCTCTGTGAAGAAATAGGTGAAAGAGAGCAGGAAACCGCACGCATGGTGCTGTTAGTTATCAGCGTTAGTAGTCACGTCATATGGGTGTGCTTCGTTTGTACGCATAGGCGTTGTGTAAATGTCCATTCGGTGTCATTTTTTGGTCAGTTTATCTTGGCCATTACAGTAGGTTCGCGACGTAAAGTAATAAGGAATTTGACCGTCTATGTTCACAAATAACAAAGTATTGCTCAGCTGCTTGCACGAATCAGTACCATAACACATTGATTTTCAAATAACAGCCAATTGCTAATCTCAGCAAACTATAAATGAACGCAAACCGGATCATAGAAAATAGCTCTAAGTGCATGTTTCCTGGTGATGCATCTGAAGTGACCTTATGCAACGGTTTAACGTTGCTTCGTTTCTAGCGAGCGGTATGGTCTCAACGTCGACTAATACAATTCACCTGACATACGGGTGCAGTCCCATCTAACGACAACCGGCGTCACCGACAGTCAATATAACACTGTTTAGATAGTTCTTTTGCGCGCAGTCTGCGCATGCGAAGAGTGACCCAGGAGGTCTTTCATAATGCGTTGTAAATGTGCAGCACCTTCTCAAACATCCTTCGAATTGAATTCGAATTGGATTTAATCAATTAGAGCAGAGATACTGATCACGCCCCGATTATCTTTCGACTAGAACCACTATACCCTGACTACCTCTCTCAGTTGACCGTCTAATTTTTATTTATTGTACGTTCACCGTGTAAACTTTATGGATCCAGACTTCTGGATGTTGACTACTTCGATCCATCCACTTGAGTGTTCAAATTCTGCGGGAGTTTTACTGTGTATGGCCTGTTACGTCTGTTGGAGGAGTCGAAACCGTTAACTAACAATTCCGGCTTTCCACAAGACGACTAAGGGTACACCAATAGTCTTTGACTTGTCTTTATAACCATAATCATTATTCTTACATCCCTGGTTGCAGTATCGCTTTGGGATACAAATACAGTCATCACAAAGGCGAATCAAAGACAAACAGAATGAAGAACCGAACTCAAACTGTTCTTCCTTACGACCACAATCGAGTGATTCTCCGTCGATCTGCAGACTCTAGTGACAGCGATTACATCAACGCCAGTTTCATCGACGGATACATGCGCCGTCGAGCTTACATTGCAGCTCAGAGTCCTTTCGATACCCCCACAACCTCCGATTTCTGGCTGATGATCTTTCAGCGCAGCGTTGCACAAGTAGTAATGCTTACTGGTTTGGTCGAAGACGGGATGCTAAAATGTTGTCAATACTGGCCGGATGTAAGTGGGATGTGCTTTTTTCTGTCCCTTTTGTGTAGTGGGTGTGGTTGAGGTCCAGTTAATCTTAGTTCTTCCTTCTTACACTTAACAGTACACACTGTTGGCGCATTCACGATTTGCAACTTGCTACTACACTGGTCCTACTTCACACCTCACAGAAAGTGGATAAAACTCTGGTGGAGTGCAACTGAATTACCTCTCCACTCCAACATCATCGGGGCGCTCTCTACGTTTTCTGTTGCCGCTGCTTCTTGCAGGCCTACTCAAATGCAACGGCTTCACTGAGGACAAAGTATTAAGACCAGGAGCCAAAAGCTGATTCTAGGAATTGAGATGAGCATCGAGAGTATGGGGGTTGGAATATATTCTGAATCCCAGTTTAGCTTAGTTCTCTGTGATGGTATTAACTAGCTACTCATACTGTTCAGCCTTGTGTTCGACCTGACTTGGCCTGTGCTGATCACCGACAGGAATTCCAGATTATGTTTTATGAACCTCGTCCATTTTTACAGATGTTCCATTAGAGGCCTTTCCGACTTAGCCCTACTGAACGGTTAGATGTAAAACAATACATCTGCTGGGTGAAAACAACCTTTGGTTGTCATCTGAAATGAATCTGACGCTATACACTACCCTCACTTTTAACTACAACAATATACAATAAAATGCGGTTTTCAAGTCAGTACCTTTGTGATTTTACGGTTAAAATTAAAATTTTCTCAACTGGTTACATCCCCAATGTAATCGTTGTCACCCGTAAGGCAGCAACTTTCCTCCGTAGCGTCCAAAATACAATCTAATAACCACAATAATTGCATCGTGGAACGCGCTGAGTGGTCAACCGCTATCAGCCAATAACATTCGGGCAATATGCCACGAAGTATTAGTATACTCAAAATGAGCTTATTGTGCATTTCCATTTTAAAGATGACAATGCAGGTAATACCCTGTCCGAACACCTGAAAAATCTGTTGGAGAGACATATATCGCAACTCGCCTACTGATATCTTATTACCATGAGCCATTACCTGCGAAACCTTTGATAGACTGCCTCCGCGTCCTCGATCAGCACTTGGATATCAGTAATGGTGCTTCTGTGGTGCGCGATACGTGGGACGTACCTCAATGCGCTTATCCTGTAGAATTCATAAACACATCCCAAAGTGTTTCTGTAGAGGCAATGCGAGGTCTTCTGGTAACTACATCATGTCGCATCTCTTGGAGTACGGTCACGCAGGTCCGGTAAACGACTTCAGGGTCATGTACCACACCCGCGAGTGATTCTCGCCCCGATTCCGGAAACATCTCTTAAATATTGCTGAGGCCATCTATATCCGCCATCTCAAGCCGGAGTTGTGCGTACTGAAGAAATTTGTATGCCTCTTACTTCTAATGTGGCCTATGAATGGCGTTATATGGTCCATTGAATTGTAGCCCTATTTAATTTTTGGTTATGAAATTGCTTTGCTCTTAAACATACTCTGCTACCTCTAGTAATCTCGTACGTTATCAACTGGTCAGTATTAAAAGTTATAAACAATATTCAGCCCCATCCGGCATATCTAGCATATAACTGTCACCATGTAAAGTCTAAGTCAATATCCGTCTCTTTGATTCATTCTAACAAAAAGCAGGACGACCGCACAGCCAAATAGATCACCATGCCGCAAAATAGCACCTAAATAGCACCCATGAATGTCACAACAGTAACTTATTCATCAAAATCAGAAAACATCAAAGCCACCCCGCTATACGTACCCTGAACATCCCACGATGAAGGCGACGGTTCAACGGCCCCAACGTAAAACCGGTCACGTAAAAGAGCTTAGAACCATCGGCTACTTCCGGAATAACAATTGCCTCCAATATCCCCAACAGTATTTCTGACTAAGATGCCCTAGATATATTGAAAAGACTATGTAAGTTCTAGGAACCAACAGCCTTTCGGTACCCGATCTCTACCTCAGTCACGGAAATGCCCACGCTTTATTAAACGAATTCTGCTCGGCGGCAAAAACGACCAATCAATAGACCAAGTTTGCAACATGTGAAACCTGAAACCATATCCCACGCTCCGTACCACTCGATATAGCATCAAAACTCGTCTATATATAGGTAGTTTCAATGCCAAAAGAATAAACCGGCATGTTGCTCCTAACATAGATTAATATGCATCCAGTCACCGGACATCCGTCCATCCTACTCCTTTTCTGGCAGACGACCGTCCACTAGCTGCAACTGCCCTAATCCCACTAGACGAACTGGTTGAAATCTAATCCTTCAACAAAATAGTGCAGGTATGCTAGCTGTTTCGGTGTGTGCGTACTTTCAGAATGAGGAGGAAAGTATCAGAGCTGACAGCCTAACATCTCATTTGAAAGGAATGTGGGAGGCTGCAGATTATCAGATGACTTATCCAACCTTACCTTGGTGTACATCTTATTCCGCCCGGGAGCTCTTCTGTCTTTGCCGATCAGAGTGGACTTGTGTGATTCGTATGGGAACCAAGTGGTTGGAATGTGATTATCTCCCATCCCAGGTACTGCCATGATTGAGGAACCAGCACCAAAGTGAAATTTAACCGACCGAAATATAAACAGGTTGAGCACACTGTAGACATTCCGCTGCGCTGGATATCGTCCTCTTCCTTGTGTTATTGACAAACGGACTATGAGAGTAAACGGTTGCTTGCACTGCGCCTCTAATTGGGAGACAGATTCCGGTAGAGATAGCCTGAAGTGGCATCAAAACGAGGTAACCAATCTGCCCAGAGCAGATCGCAGAGTATTCTGGAATACCAAGTAAGTATCGTTCACTCTGGTCCTGCGTACAGCTCCTACTCCCCGCATCAACCGGACAACTCGTTTGCTCACTCAAATCCTCTTTGTGAGACCGTTTTGACTACATCCAACGGGATCGATCGTGACCGCGTCGCCGTTCGTCTTAAGTCCGGAAATGTACTGATTTCGTCTTGCCTCTATACCCAGGCTTTGTAGTTTGGACCAGCGGTTGTGGCAGCACCTTCTTCCACACACCGCATTGTCCAATGCTGGCGCACGCAGACACATTGCGCACCTAGACGAGCGGATAGATGAGGTCCGTGGTTTAAGGCCTCTACCGCTGCCCATTTGAGATTGACCACCCAAGTGTCTCCTACCTTGCGTAGGTCTAGCTTCAGTGTAACCAACTTTGTAACCCCCTCAAAGTGCGATTGCTCTGTGCTGCTATTGGATCTAGATTAAAATCCACGCTGGCGTATTTTCCGTTTACTATTGGCTGATAGTGTTTGACCAATCAATGCGTTCCACGATGCAAGTTTTGTGGTTATCGGAGTGTACTTTTTATGCTACAGAGGAAAGCTGTTGCCTTTTGTATGAAAAGGATTACATACCGGATGCATTCAATTGATAAATTATATCTCTGTCAATTCACGAATTCTGGGCAATTCTTAAAACTCCTATAGATCTCTTACTTCCGTAGAATTTTTTAGTCCTTGAATAAGAAGAGTAGAAATGTGTATTTCAAAATATCCTTGTCCGGACCACACGTGCAATTTTTGTGTAAGTTTTACCGTTAGATCTTTATCAGAAACACATTAATTGGGAACTTACGCACTAAACTTTGAGAGACTGTAGCATTTCAATTGTGTTACATGTGTTTATGCTGTGCGACGGCCATAGCGGTACCGTGTTGTGTGAATGGAATTTCGTTGTGCTGTATTTCGCAGACAGTATGCTGTCTGGTTGCTAAGGCTTAGACGGGAGAACCATTATGGTTGGTTCAAATGCATGACCGCGTGGGAGCGAAGCTACGGTACTGAGCTTCAGAGAGTGCGTTTTAAGGAATAAGGAGTCACCCACATTCCGACCCCCAACCTGGAGAACTAGGAGACTGAGTTTGTCTGGCGTCTAACCATTGGCCTATCTGTTATGAATGACTCTGAAGATGTAAAAAGCAACACCCAAGACAGCTACTGGATCGTAAATGCACTCAAACCATCGCATCACGATTGGGTCCAGCCTCATTTAGATAGGTCTTAAAACTTTTCGTACACTGTTCGTTTCCTATTTACTATTGCTAGGTAGATGAGTGATGGCAAATTGCTATCGGATTTCTCCCCCTCTCATGGAATACATGTTGTAGCTCTCTTTGGGTTTCTCTAAAGATGTGCAGGGGCTCCCCTCAAAGTTAAATGTATTGCACCAAATTTGCACTTTTCTGGGTAACAGAGAAGCATCTGAAATTCAGAAAATTGTGCTTATGGTCCTGCCAGATTTGGCGGACGCAACTTTGTGTGCTCTCCGTTAACGTTGGTTCTGTGCCCCATTTAGAATGCTTATTGGCAGAGAGGAAGGCAGTTTTCCATGGATAATAGCCGTATCGATGAAAAGCATTGCATCGGTGAGCCAATTACTCAATAAACTGGGTCAGTGACAGTCAAAAATCTATCGTCATCGTTCAATCTGTGTACTGATGGCTGAGTGTGTATAATTCTCTCCTCAAAACTTACCTAAAATGATGCGTGCAATTCCCGTATAAGCTCTCACAAATGTGGTCTTGCAAAGCATCAAGCGCACTCTGCCGTGTCATCCGGTGCAGCAGTGTAAAAAGTTCAACTCTAAACATTTCGGGCTAATTGAATACCTACTCTATTTCACACTTTTTTCAGGTTTATCCCAAGTTTGGTGCCAACTCTCAGACTGGTTCTGGAGACATTTGCGGTTCTTCATGCCAGTTTGGGAACTTGCTTATTCGAGCAATTGATCGGGTGGAGCATGCTCACTTTACAGTGCGTCACTTTTCAATAACACACGTGCTAAATGGTCGGACGCACCACTTGGTTCAGTACCACTTTCACAGTTGGATAACACCCGATGAACTTATACAAGTCAACAAATCTGCAAAAACCGAACACAACACCGCTAATCCGGATGCTATGCAGGATGAGATTGCGGTTACAGTGTCCGATTTGTTCACAAGCACTTCAGCGTCATCTGATGCTCGATTCGATCCCCTTGCCTTCATTGAGTTTTACTATCGTGTGAAAACTGCCTCTTCACCGGAAGATGGACCTGTGTTGGTGCATTGTGGAACAGGTAGGCAGTTGCTAGTTTCGTGGCTTTCATCCCTAAATAAAGTTATGCGGAGGGCAGATCATTTTGCAATCAGTGAATGGATAGTGTTTCACTGAACCAACTTGATAGACCGTTATATGACTTTTCCTACATCCAGCACCTTTTAGCATTCATCCACTGATTGGCTAACAAATTATGTAAGTTATATGCCGATTATCTATCCGCCTCTCCCGCTATTTTCAACTCACAGGTACAGCACGCACAGCCTTGTATATCGCCTTTGATACGCTCCTCCAGCAAGCTACTCACGAACGTGTGGTCAGTGTAGCCCGGGTGTGTGCATCAGTCAACAAAGCACGTGCCAACATGTTCTGTTCAGCAATGCAGTACATGTTACTATACGACCTTTTGTTCGAAGCACTGCTTGCCGGGCACAGCATCCTGGATTTTGACGTCCTGAGTACCTATCGCGCGGTAAGCATATGGCAAAAATGGAGGTTCCAGTTTTCTATTGTTTATGCCGTTTGCTGTAGTCATGAGGAGTGCTGTATTGTGTGCACATTCTCCAGGAAACAGACCCAAAAACCTTCATCATTTTGTAGTGCTTTCCTTTCCAAAAGGTTGAATTATTCCCGCTTTAGTCGTCCAAAGTCGCTTTTGGTCATTCATCTTCAGGTCAAACACAACACAGTTAAATAAATAAAACATGGCGTCAGAATGTCCAAAATGCCTGTGGTTTGTCCACACGGAAGCTGCCTGAACAGCAGCTGAACATGATAATACGAAAGCCTCGACGAACTGCCTAGCAAATTCAGTGGGGTTGTTGAGACGAATCACGATCGCTTACGCCAGTGAAACTATTCGGTATCTGACAGACTTGCAGTAGGCACCCCTCACACGATAGATCGGGCGAAAGGCTTTGGTGATAAGGACGCCTGATTCTTTTGGACCAGGTGCGCGTCTATTGCGCAGCTGCACGTTATGTAAAAATCCTCGGCTTAGCCACGCTGGGTGATGCTTGCGGACTCGTCCATACAAACGTCCCGTGGTACGACTTATGTCACTTGTTCCACAGGAACAGGTAAATCGGTGCACACACAATGTGGTGCTGTCCATAAGCAGTTTATCCTTCAGCTGGATATGGAACTTAGGAGAATTCGTAATTGTGCGGCCCCATTAGTGTTAGTGACAGCCAATAGTAATCGTTTGCTGAGTTCTTCGGAACTGTTGTCTCTCTCGAATGGCAATGATAAGTAGGCGGGATTCTATCCTACTGTGGTTGCTTTGGCGATGGCATTGTCAGTTCGCATATTCCTGTCAATGGATGCCTCGGGATAGCAGCCATAAAGGAACACAGCGCGTTCCGCTACAATTGTCTCCTCGGAACGTGTATTCATCGCTCTTCCGACACTGTTTCTGTCGAACTGGTACAAGGCTATTGAAATGCATATACTGACCCGTCCATTTCTCTCTCTAGTGTATTTTACGCTGTAACGAGCCATCTGGTCGACCTGATATTTAAACGCCGCAGGATAGCCAGACCTTCGTTTGACTCCGATGGCATGCAAAGCCAAATGTTCCTACGGGACCAGACTGAATATCCTTAAGGGTTGAAATTGGTCCACAAAATCGTCAGCTATGCACATCATGCAATCGGCATAGCGTTTTCAGAATGGTATTTGCCCAATCATTTCACGCAGCGAACCCATCTTTAGTTAAGCACATCGGGGAATAACGGACCCGATAGTGAGCCCACAGCTAGCTCGTCTTTTTATAGGTATAACTGTCCAGAAAGCGAAACTGGACGTTGTGCGTTCACTGATGAAGCAACGTCTTCAGTTCTTCCACCAGTTAGCCAATTTGTTTTCCTATGCGCTCGATGTATTTGGCAAGATAATCGTGAGTCTCTTTAACAGGGATGTCAGTAAACAGCGGAGTCACATCGAGCGAAAACAGTTACTAACAAGCAACTATCCACATTTTGAATTCTAATGCTGTCGACGAATTCGAACCGTCACGCAAAGTAAACGTTGCTCGCTCTCCTCTCGTTAGTTCTAGCATTTCTTTAGTCTTACTTTTATCTTTATGATAGTGTAGGACGCATCAAGGGCAACAGCGTATACCACCTCTATCCATGGTCCTCGCTGTCAACTGCGCACGTTTAGCTTCAACCCAAAGTTGAGTTCCGAACAGATTGCTGACGGTCTTCTATTTTCTCATTTTGACTGACAAAGTGGATTGCAATACTGTTTGTTTAAATTTTTCGTTCGAGTTCCAGCCTGCTTGATAAGCTTGGTGTGTGTGTGCGTGTGTGTGTGTGTGTGTGTACAAACTCTTAGCTTGTGGTGGGAAGTTGGCGTCGTTTGATAATGTGGCTATTTCTGAGCAACTTTTTGATAGCTTACACACAACATGTTAGCTCCTTGCTCATATTAGCATCAAGCGCATTTGGCCGACGGATATTAGTAGACCCTTGCTTTCGACTTCGTCAAGTTGAACAAGGCTCATCTGTTGGACACAAAATACCTCGCTATTGTGGAGGTGGTCCACTTTATTTCACAGTGAAACAGTTGTTTTTTCAACACAACGCGCTAACGTGACTGCTTATTCCAGCGTAGGGCAAGCGGTTTAATTTGCAGCTTGTTGTATCGCATATGCATCACAGTACCAACTCTATCCACACCGGCAGAACACTGCACAGTGGTTCTCCTAATAACTCGAATCTCACCTACTGACTGCCAGTGGGATCAACACTCACTTTCTCTGAGGCACCTTTATGTCTTTCTGGTTTTCTCTTGTACCGTCTGCTGAGACGATGTTAAACTGGTAATGACAAGCCTAAAGGTCTATCGATATAGTACTTCTTAAGAAGCGAACGTTGGAAACTTACTCTAGGTTTTTAACTTTCTGTGTATCATCAGGATCTCCGTATGTCACTTACCGGTACACTATATTCCCTACATACACTGTCATGCCCATAAATTCTCATGACTGAAATCCTTTCTTTCTGATACAGTTTTGTTATTTCCGTTGCTTCCGTTCACGAATAGAAAGATACGTATCTGTTTAACATTGTCTCCACTATTCCAATAGCTTTGTCAGAAGAATCTCAAACTCGGTCACACTTATTTATGGGAACAGTGGTCCGTGTTGCACATGTACACACCGAAAGTGGAACCAGATGTTGAACTGCGAGTGGCCTTGGCTGCGGTGAATACGAATCGCAACCGCTACGCGGATGATTTGGACCTGCTCCCGTCTGAACGCTGGAGACCGAAACTCCCTGCAAAACCGCCTATACAGGACTGGACAGGCTATGTGAACGCCGTTTACCTGGATGGTCCAGCGCTTCGCGATGACCTCATTCTGACCCAGACACCCATGAGTTCCACTGTGGATGACTTTTGGCTCCTAGTGGAGACGGAAAAGGTACACGCTACTCGCTCACGTTTCCTCTTGACACTACTTCTCCATTCTGAGATTTTCGACTACGTGACTTCTAAGTGGAGTAGGCAGTGCAAAGTAGAGTTAATGCCTAAAGGTGAATCATTCGTGTCATAATTAGACTAGTATAACATCCGGTGAAGTGTGAGGATTGCAGTGCTTTCCAAGCAACAGGTAAAGTAAGCTTCATTAGTTATGAAAGACCCAAGTTAATATCCGCAGTAACTGCATACGATTACAATGTAAGGTAGTTGACTAGAAGTTATACAGTGAGTCGTGGAAACCCCCAAGTGTAAGCGACACTCCACCAGCACTTCCTTACCGGGAAGGCAAGGAAACCATATCCGCACATATCACATCGACATCTTTCCACGACACATTTTCAAGATACATTTTCATTAGCTACAATACATTTGAGTGACAGGTAAGTGCACTAACTTGCTTCGTGGTCATCATAATAAATACGCTTAGGTACTTGAATATAATCAGGCAAGCCCTGTGGTACACATAAAAGGACTCATTATCAAATAGCTATCGTGATGCAGCCTTCCGACGGCGCGAAAAGCCAACCTAGACTGATTAAAAGTGTGCACAAAACGGCAGCTCCACAAACGAGCTGTTGGTCTCATGCTTGAGGTAGTGTCACATGATGGCCCTCATCGCACATGGTCTGGCGACTTCGTGGCTTGCGCTGTCTCAATTCCGGTGTGCGCGCTGTTATCGCGCTGTCATCCAGGCACATGGTGTAAGGTGGCAACCTGGAGTAGTTTCTCACCACGCCACAGACGGATACAACCGTTTCCGCATTTTTCTCTCACTGCGAATGCGAATAGCCACGGGATGCTTGCGCATACAGGGGGGGGGGGCCAGGGGGCTTACGTTGCAACGCCTACAGCTCCATGCAAATAACCCATATACACAGTTAAGCCGAAGGAACAAAACGGGCAGGCATGTGGAGCGTAGCCGCCATTGACTCGGAATGTACCATTCTTATGCAATTGTGGAAACCGTGAATGCCAGACATACACTTGGATGTATCCACATTTTTAGACTATCACTATGCGCCCCCGAACAATGCCAAACCGTCTCCTGGAGCCAACACAATCGAGGTAGCGAATTTCCCCAGGTATGTACCCTGTCATCATTTACCTTAAGCGCAAACAGATCGTGGATATCAGTCGGCAAGTACTAACAAAATCGGACAAAATAAACTCTTAGACCAAAAGCACATGTGCCACTGCCGTATTATTGGCCGGGGTTACTAAATGGAATGGGAAACGGTGTGCTTATTTTGCCCTGACGTCTACCCATTCAACTCACTTGTCGGCTCTTTGATGTTATCCCGCTGTGGTCGCCTTGATGGCTTATCAGATCTGTTGTTTTGATAATCACAACCGCATATGTTACAACCCCAGGTGCTTGATGTCGATGGGTTGGACCCCATCACCTCTTTGCTTCCTGATGCAACGGTACTTTTAGATGTACCTTCACAACAGCATACTTGATGTGGTCGCGCCTTTATCGACGATCGAGTGTCATTGCTTCCCAACGCCTAAAGTCAACCTTACTTCGTAATGAACCCAACCTCATCATGTCCTGGTAACGCAGCTTCCGTTTTTCCACAATTCGCTTCCTTGCACGCAGTTGGCCATAGAGTAGACGCTTCGCTATTCTTTCACATCCATAAGACTGAGATATCAGAGCTACCTCAGGAGCAGCAGCATCAGTATGAAACCCACTCCCTACGGGCAGCTCCAATGGAGCACTTCAGTGTCAGACACTGTTATACTAAGGGATGTTTCTTGTTGATGAAATCATTCCAGCTATGGAATATTCTCCGAGTACAGCTTCCGTGTTTGGATACCGTAGAGATGAAACAATGGTACCATTAACTTAGACATCAGTAGGCTTGCTCCAGTGGTTGGCCGATGATTCTCTCACACCCGGTGTTTCAATTTGCCAACGCAGCATTCACCTTCCATACGCAACAGCGCATCTCACAAGTCATTCGCAGATCCGTTGGTAGCATGCTTCAGAAGTAACAGAATGCGGGTGAAGTCTCCAAGACTTTATCAGCAATCTTGATTTGTGTAGGCAGCTCAAGGATTCCGTTCCTGGGGACAGCTGAAAAACACTGACTGTCTTAGCTGGATTGATAACTACCATCGCAGCGAGAGCCGACGTCACAGGGTGCAACTCATCTGTGCTGTGTGCAAACAACGCACAGTCTGGGCAAACAACTGCAAACAAATAGATGTATCATGCTCTCGGATTTTCACTTGGAAACCATTAATGTTCAACGACGCGGCGCTCGACGCGGATACCGCATTCAAATACATTAAGGTAACTACTAAACGGGGTAGGAGCTAAGACACAGCCTTGCTTCACATCACAGAAAAAATAAAAGTCATCTGAGATTTCTCCACACGGCTGCAACCGCGCCGGTTTATTGCCGTACAGGCATTTACTTAGACTTACCAGTTTACTTGAGCAACCAAACTTACCCAACACCAACAATAGTGCCTCGAGGTACAGCGTGTCAAATACGATGGTGAATTCGACGAACGAGTATAATGGCTGCTTTCGCTCAGGACACCCCTCTTTCAGTTGACGAGCCATGCTTCGGTCTGGAGGGAATGCGCACTGCTCTTCAGCCGCGACTGGTATAAGGACCCGGTTGTACAGGATTCGAGCAGTCCTTTTACCCACGCAACATAGTAACTTGTACCACGATACTTGTTGATAATTGGCTTGCTTCACTTGCCCTTTCACAAGTGAAGCTTTCAGCTCAGATGGCACTTGTTCTTCAAACCACACGCGTTCCACCAAGTGGTGCGGTGCATGTAGTAACGCGGATCCAGCATACTTCAGCAATTCTGACGGTATCCTGTGGGCTGCGGAACACTTGCCGTTTCATGACTGACCAAGTGCTCTCGGCGTCTCATGGATTGTCGATGGGTTAGCATGACACGTCTTCATCTTTTATTGTTGCAGTCCCTGCAACCTAGACCAATCAATCTCTGAACGGTTGTTCAAGAGACATTCAGAGTGGTTTCGCCGGATATTCATTGGGTGTGCAGTTTGTGTGCAGACAGCCCCCGAAGTAACGTCCACCAGTGTCCTTGGCACCTAAAATGTGAATTCATACACTGCCTTCAAGAAGTCGTGCAACTCTTTATCTTGGAGGTCTTCGGCGAAGTGCTCCATCAACGCGAGTCACCACCACATGCTACAAACCACTACTGTACTAACGAACGCTAAATTTCTTCCGTTTCGCAGCCTAATGAGAATACGCAGTCATCGAAACATATGCATAATTTAGTTCGCATCGGCTTGTGAACAGTTCCACACACAGCTGCACGATTCGCGCATACCATGATGGCCTACGATGACGAGCAAGTTAACGTCCAAGTAGAAATATCACTCGCACCGAGTGGAAACTCTTTGTTTGTGCTTATCAGGCTATGATTGGCACAATGCGAGAGCAGGCAGTCATCGTTCACTTTGGTTAATCCAACACCACCCACGACCCGATTGCATGCCCCCACACCGTGGCATCCCGCACAGCGTGCGAGTTGCAATCACTCAGTAGGGACAGCTGGTCGTTCCTCGGCAGGAACCGTATCGCAGATGATAACAGAGTATAAAACTGATACTTTGTGCCATCAGCATAACGCACGGTGGGACCATACGTGGTAATAAAGATACAAACTTACCTCGTCCGGGACGTAGGCCAATAAACATTTGTCGTGGACTGATGCCAGTTGGGTTTTCAATCAGGCGTCCATTTAGGCGATCGGATAGTGCGATTCCAATCGCGTGTTCACTTGATACTATCGTGGCGTTTCCACACCGTGGAAGGTGTGGCCAGCACCATTTCCGTGCAGGTTGCCTTGGCAAGCCAGCGAGTCCGACTCTGTGCTGCATTGTCAATGCAGTGGCAAATGAGGCCCATGGCGGACAGCGCAGTAGGTCAATTTGAACGCTCATTCCTATCCCGTTAGGGTAATGCGCGCACGTTTCAGCAACCAATCTTGAGCGCTCTTCGCGAAGGTAATATTATTGCACCGAATATCGTCTGGGTGGTGATTTTGGGCGGGAGTTGGGATTGTGTCGTTATCGCGATTCAGACGTACTGTTGGCTGGGAGGGGTGAATGTGGAGATGAAGGAGAAGAAAGAAGAGCGGCACAAGTGGCAGCGTGATGATGTATGCGGCAGATTAGACAAGCATTTTCCCCACTGCGCTGGTGATCGTTGATTGTTAATTGTTGGACTGATATACTGTTTGGTCGTCCACACCTGGACAGGAGAGCAAATTCCGAATGGCAGCGGAAAGTGTGTCATGATTTAGACGACTAACGAGGATTTCTCTCGACTCTTAGCTGCAAGGGTGGTGAAACCCAACATCCACCCACTGGTCGCAACGAAGAGGCGTCCCGACCATGAGACCGTGGTATCTCCGGAATCTGTCAACGGGTCGTGTATCTGTCAAGATCGCGCTACCACAAGCCCCCGCCAGCAATGGCTTTTGCATCCATTATATATATATATATATATATATATATATATATATATATATATATATATATATATATATATAAGCGCAATTAGCGTAAGCGACGTGCCAGCTAATAGAAGACTATTCAGATAGGCAAAAGTAACCAAATAAAGTGGAATGAACTTTATGCAGCTTAAAGAGACCTAGTTTAAGTGTAAGTTGGTTTAGCCCAACTGCGGTGAAGAAGCATCAAGAATGCAACATCAGCCTCAGCATGGGGCACACATACATACATGGTTGGCGGCATCCGGTTTCGGATTTGCCTGTCACTGTGGCCAGCCACAGGACGTCTACGCCTACAGAGGGACCATGGCTGGCTTGCGCTGCACCACCCACAGCTCCAACCACACACCCCATATCCAGTGTAAACCCGAAGGAATAAGACCGGGAGGCATGTGGATGGGAGCCACGTTTCATCAACGGAGC